GAGGGAGGGAGGGAGAGAGAGATGGAGAGAGAGAGAGAGAGAAACATACAAAAGAAGTAGAGGAAAATGACGATGGTAAGGATTAGGAAAGAAAAAGCAGCAGTTCCCTGTTGCAGTTCAAGCACAGTTATGAGCATGACATTGTTAGATCAGCCCATTTACAATTTTACTGTGCATTAGAACGAGAAATGTGCCCCCTTTGGGAATGGCCTAAACACACTTCAGGGCTTTCTTCGCAAAGAACATTCATTACATAGTATATCAACAGATTTTTACTCAAGACTAGTGGATTCTCTGACTTCTTAAAACAAAGTATGGGGTAAAAATTAACATGGAAAAACAGTTCCGTTGTAAAGCAACAAATGATAAAAACTAGCAGAAACACAAATGTACAACCCGACACGCCCCCTCTCCCATTAAAGAAACTACAATTTTTTTTTGAATCAATACTCTGCTTACTGTCAGCAATTCATGTCACCTATGTAGACATTTCTCGAAATACAGAAGAAAGCTGAGATTCTGCAACACTGTTGAGCTTGTTGTGTTGTGACTTCTTAGAAAGGACCCCCATATCATCAAACATTACAACAGCTACAGAAACTGTCTCTTGTTCCCACTTCAGTCAGCATTCAAGAAACCCTTCCTCTCAGAAACAGACCACTGCATCAATAGGACATTAGCTAGAAAATAAAATATAAATAACAAAACAAAATCAAAACCAATCTCGAAGAGTGTGTTTTGTGGCAATGACGCAGTGAAGAGATATATTATCTTGCTACCAAATGGCAATATAATAAATACAGGACTAACACACATTACACACTATAAGCTTATTAAGGCACCGGACCTCCAATACGATCCAACCAAGCGAGTAGAGAACCTTGAAGACTAACTATAAGAAAATATGGAACACAATTTTTGCTCGTGGCAACTAAAAATCCCTGAATACAGACAGTCCCATTCATAAAACAGATCAAACTGACCAAGAAAACAAGAAAAACAAAAGTGTACCTCAGTGGTCAGTTGAAGCGTCTCCCCTTTCTTCAGGAAGCCTTGGAGGGCAGCCTTCAATTCTTTCATGTTGGCATCATCAAGTGTCTGAAATGCAGCAAATTGTATACTTTTTAAGGCACATTTTCCTTTTACAGTCATCAGTCTATTGGTCTTCTGTACTCAGTACAACCTCCAAGCAAAGCAGAAGATTCCCCTAACCCTTTGAGCCCTGACCTCCTGAGGCTACCATGCCCCTGTGCCTGAGCTCGTGAGCGATTCACGGCTGTATTACTCTCACGTTTATATCATCGTCAGAATCACATTCCATATATTCCTCTCAGGGTAGTCTTCATTACCAGCATCTAATTCATAAAAAGGCCTTCAAAATAATCAATAACGTCATGTGTAGCAAACACTGTTGTCCGTGGGCGTTTTGTCCCATGTGGGCCAGTTCGGGGATAGGGTCTTTGCTCACCGGTATACCGGAGGCTAGGGCTCAAAAGGACAAGCAAAATTTTATGTGAATGCAAATGCAAAATAACATCAATTACAGAGATCTGATACAAATGCATCAGTCACCCCCACCCCTCCTCCCAGCCACTGATCAATATTACAATAAGCTAGTTTTTACATAGATCTAGATAATGAATTGCACACTGGTCTGTGGAATCAAACGTTGCCATAGGCGGGGCTTTACACTACAGCAACACAATTTGTTTGGCAAACAATGCGTCATAGATGACACAGGCGTGCATGTGCAAGAATCGTTCCTTTTGCACAATGTGTGCATGTTAGAGTTCAGTTCATTTTCCTGGAATTTTTAAGCATTTCTTTGGTATGCCGTCAAGAAACGAAAATGCCCCTCATATGAAACCAAACTAATTTTGATTGAGGAAGTTAAAAAGGGGCAAAAAAGCAGGCATTTCAGGGTGACCACGTGTTACTTCCCTTTCTCATTACTTTCTACATTACTTGTTCCATGTCTGTAATTAATTATCAACATAAAAACCACACGTTTGCTAAAACGAACACTCGAATTCAATGAAATTGAAGGTCAAGCCCAACAACTTTGTTGAATCGGAGTTCCACAGTAAAGAAAAATTGGTAGAAATAGGCTTCATCCAAGAAGATATAGATAAGTAAGAATTCTCTGCTATGGAATACTGGTACGCCTACACTTTCCAAAATTTTAAACGATGGAATTCATTTAAAGAGGTGGCAAGTACAGAACTTTAAATATGTATGAATTGTCATTAAAAAATATGAAAGATTGGAAGCACTGATACCAAATCGAAACATCACTCGAGTCACAATTTCTGGTTTCAAACACAGCCAAAATTGTCCACGAGGCCCAACCATTGTCCAGAGAACAGTAATTGTTTAACACAGGTGAACACCTTGTACAATGTCATTTTAATATTTTAAAAAAAACCACAAGGAGGGAAGCAGAAAGTGGTAATTCACTTTTTAACTCCAAGGGGGGTAAACCCACTATGCGGGGGTCTACCATCTTCAAAACTAACCTTGTCATAACTTTGTGCTGAATGTAGCTAACAGATCACCTGCACAACGCTATATTATTCAGATGGTATCATTTTGATAGGATTGAGCACAGGAAAGAGGGTTATCTATCTACAAGCTTCTTAATTCTTATCTGTATCTTTGGAATCACTTCATCTCGTAGTTTGTTACACAACGTATGAATATTTAAAGCAAAGTGACATAGTACTGGTGTATGGAGGCGTTGTATTTTGTAATTGTAATGTCAAAGCACTTTTTACACACCCAAAAAAAATGGGTCCAAGAGGCTACATCTTTTAATCCAGACAGATTTATATCATGCCAGTTCACATCGTGGCTACCGGATCCGTAATAATGAAATTGCATGTTCGGGGGTTCGAGTCTCAGCTCGGATCGACGTTGTGTCCTTGGGAAAGACACTTTACACGAATTTCCCACTTGGCTCGGCCCTCTCGAAGATGGAT